TTAGTCCGTTGTTGTAAGTTATTTTGCTTGATTTTCATATACTGAACTAGCCTTGCATTCTTAGGATATAACTCACAGTCATTACATATTTTCCTTTTTAATTATTACAAGATTTAATTTACTAATATTTTGGTGAGGATTTTTGAGTCTATGTTCATGAAGAATATTGGTCTGTGGTTTTCTTGTAATGTCTGTCTGGTTTTTATTATTTAGTTCTTCTTCAGTGAACTTTGTTAGTTTCTGTCTGTCAAGGAGTTAGTCTCTTTTATCTTAGTGGTCAAATTTATTGGTGTAAAGCTGTTCATAGTATTTCCTTAGTGTCATCTTAATGCCTGTAGGATCCGTAGTGATGTTTTCTCTTTCATCCTTCATACTGGTATTTTGTGTTTTCATCTTCTCTTCCACTTCTTCCATCTCCTCCTCCCTCTACACCTCCTCCTTCTTCTCTGTCAATCTGACTAAAGACTTATTAATTTTATATTTATTCAAAGAACCAGCTTTTGTTCTCATTGATTTTCTCTATTGATTTTCTATTTTCAATGTTATTGATTTCTGCTTTTATGTTTAGCTGGGGTTTAAATTACTCTTTTTTTATACTTTTTAATGTGGAAGATTAGATCATTGATTTGAGATTATAAGCATTTATCCTAAAATTTCCCTCTAAATACTGCCATAGCTTCATTCCACAAATTTTGATAAGTTGTATTATCATTTTTATTTAATTCAAGTTATTTTCTAATTTCCTTTGCAACTTCCTCTTTTTGACTCATGGGTTATTTAGAAGCTTTTTTTAAATATTAAAATGGTTAAGATTTTCATACCTTTCTGTTAGTACTTTCTAGCTTAATTTTATTATAATCAAATAACATATTTTTTAAGATTTCAGTTTTTAAATTTTTGAAGGTTTCTTTTATGGTCCAAGATATGGTCAGTGTTAGTGAATGTTCCATGTGCACTTGAAAATGATGTATATTCTGATGTTGCTGGGTAGAAAATTCTATTAATGTCAAGTAGTTCAAGTTGATTGATACTGTTGTTTGGGTCTTCTACAGCCTTACTGATTTTCCATTCACTTGTTCTATTGGCTACCATGAAAGAAGTGTTAATGTCTCCAACTATAAGTGTGGATTTATCTATTTCTCATTTAGTCTGTCAGTTTTTGTTTCATGTTTTTAAAATTCTTTTGTTACTTAAAATAGTCACATTTTCTTAGTCAACTCTTTCTTTCATAATTTTGTGTTGTTTGTCTTTGTTACTGATAATACTCCTTGTTCTGAGGTCTACTTTGTCTAATATAGATATGGCCAGTCCCACTCTCTTTTTGTGTGTTGTTTTTGTTTGGTGGCTGGCCAATATGGGGATCTGAACCCTCGACCTCGGTGTTATAACACTGCGCTGTAACCAACTAAGCTAACCAGCTAGTCCCCCAATTACAATTTCTTTTGATTAGTGTTGGCATACAATATCTTTTCCCATCCTTTATAAATACCTAAATCTTTATATTTAACGTGGGTTTCTTGCTGACAGCATATAGCTGAGCTTTGATTTTTTTCAATCCAATCTGAAAATCTTTGTCTTTTAATAGAGGTATTTATGCCATTTATATTTAATGAAAATATTATTTGTTTTTGTTTGTCCTCTTTGGTTTTTTTTCCCTCTGTTTCCCATTTCCTACTTCTTTTTGGCATATTTGAATATTTTTAGTATTCCATTTTAATTCATCAGTTAGTTTATCATGTGTGTGTTTAGTGGTTATTCTAGGGCACTATAATACACATATTTAACTATCTCAACATCTGTTTAGAGTTTATATTGTGACACTTCAAGTAAAATGTAGAAGTCTTACAACCTGTAGATTTCTTAACACCTCCCTAATTTTGTTACATTTGTCACATATATTATATCTACATACATTAAAAATCTGACCAGACAATGTGACAACTTTTGCTTTAAACAGCCATGCATATTTTGAAGATCTTAAAGGGGGAAGTTGTTTATTATATTTACCTAGATAGTTACCACTTCTATTGCTCTTTCTTCATTCCTGAAGATACAAGTTTCTCCCTGGCTTCCTTCTTTTCAGCCTGAAGAACTATGTAGACTTTCTTCCTGACAACAAATTCTCTTATTTTTTCTTCACCTGAGAATGTCTTCATTTTGCTTTCATTCCTGAATGTTATTTTCACTGGACATAGAATTCTAGTTTAATTATTCTTTTCTTTCATCACTTGAAGGATGTTTTTTTTCTGGCTTTTGACCTCCATGATTTCTATTGAGAAATCCATGGTCATTGAAGTCATTGCTCTCCTGCATTAATGTGTTGTGTTTCCCTTAACTGCTTTTCAGAATTTTTTTTTTTTTTTGTCTTTTTCCGTGTCCGGCAACGGATCGCAACCCTCAGTGTTGCCCCCGTACCGGACCGGGGACCGGCAACGGGATTGCAGCCCTCGGTGTTGCTCCCGCGCCTCGCTCAGCCAGTGAGCGGGAACCGGTCTGTATGTGGGATCCGAACCCTTGGGCGGGAGCGCCACTGCACTTCCCAAGCGGCGCACTATCCAGCGCGCCACCGGGCCGGCCCTTCAGAAATTTTTTAGTCTTTGGTTTTCAAGAGTTAGATTATGATGTGTAGTTTCTCTTCAATTGAACCTGTTTGGATTTCACTGCACTTTTTTCATGTGTAAATTTTTCTTTCACCAAATTTGGTAAGTAGGCCGGCCCTTCAGAAATTTTTTAGTCTTTGGTTTTCAAGAGTTAGATTATGATGTGTAGTTTCTCTTCAATTGAATCTGTTTGGATTTCACTGCACTTTTTTCATGTGTAAATTTTTCTTTCACCAAATTTGGTAAGTTTTTAGCCATTATTGGTATGAAATTTCTTTCTTCTCTCCTCTTGGAATTCCTGACTTTTGGATATTTTCCCTTACATCCCTGAAACTTTTATCTTTTTAATCCCTTTTCTCTCTGTATTCAGATTATGTAATTTTTATTAATCAGTTGTCAAATTCACTGACTTTCCTCTATCATCTCCATTCTGCTATAAGCCCATCCCGTGCTTTTTGTTTTTAATTTCACACATTTTATTATTTAGTTTAAAATTTTCTAATTTTGTTTTATACTTTGTATTTCTCTGCCATGAGATTCAATTTTTCTGTTAATTTCAAGTATTAAAGACTTTTACCTCGTGGAGTACAGTTATAATAGCTGCCTTAAAGTCTTTGTCTGATAATTCTAACATTGTGTCATACCAGAGTTGACATCTGTTAATTGTCTTTTTCTTTGAAAATTGGTCATATTTCCTGATTCTTTGTATGTAGAGTAATTTTGGATTGTGTCCTTGACATTTTAATCTTATGTTCTGTAGACTCTGGTTCCATATTATAATCTTTTGGAGAATTTCAACTTTTTTTGTTTTAGCAGGCAAGCAACCCTGATAGATTCAGACCACAAGTTCTGTCTTATCTTTTGTGGGTGGTGGTTCTAATCTTGGTTTAGTTTTCAAAGCCTTTGCTCTATTGCTTTGAGTCTGTCTCATTCATGCTCAGCTCAGGGATGAATCTGAGAGGTGGGAGTGTCATACACAGAATTAGGGATTTACTTTTTCCTGTGCTCTTCTCTTTGGGATTCATCCCACACTCTCTGGCCTGCACAGGCCCCTTTTCCTGGTCCTCTGGCCAGAAACCTAAGGTTTCTTATGGAGTTTTAACCCCTTTTTCTACTGCACCATTGTGCAGGTCTGGGACTGATACAAGGCTAAAAGAGCAAAAGAAAAAATATAGAAAACTCACTCCCTGTGTCAGTCTCTTCTACAAGTTTTGACTCCCCTTCATGGTCACCTGCTTTCGTTTAGTTTTCAGAGTCCTTAAGTAGTTGCTTTTTGTATTTTATCCAGAATTTTCATTGTAATCAGCAGGAGAGAGCCTGTATTGGCTTACCTTACTATGCCAGGAGTAGAACTCCCTGGAATGCTCTTTTTTTGATACTGAGCAGTATTTTTTTCTCACCAGATGCTCCTATGATCCCTCTGTCTGTCGAGTGCATGTCTTGGGTTGTTAGGCTCCTGTGAAGGTGTGAGTTCCTAAAGAGAACTGTCATGAATCTCTTCTCCTCCCCTGTTGAAAAAGAAACCCAGTCCCAGCTGAATTAAGGAGGAAAGAACACTTATTGGCCTCTGACCAGAAGGGTAGAAGTACTGTCAGGAATCCTGCTTTCTCATCTCCTGGCATTGCTTCCCTGCATTGATCTTGTCTCTGGCAGACTCCTCCGGGGGTGACAAGGTGGCTTACCTTTGCCTACATCCTCCCACATTAGCGACCCCAGAGGACAGAGAGCAGCTTTTCTCCAGTAGTTCCAGCAAATGTCCTGAAGCTCTCCCTGGTCCAGCAAGGGTCACATGCTTATGTTTGAGCTAATGCCTGAGGCCAGAGGCATGGAATATGCTGCTTGACCAGCCTGGGTCATATGCCCAGCCTAGAGTCAGGTGAGGGTGGAGATGTTGGCCCCACCTGAACCTCAGGGACTGAGAGGGGGGAACCTGAAGCATGCATTTCAGCCAGGGTGATATCACCCCCAAGGAAGCAAAAGAATGTTAGATATTACGGTGGTTTAAGAGATTGACAGTATGTCTGTGGGATTAATATTTTATGGGGTGAGAATGATTAGAAAAAATGTCTGTGGAGTATTTTTGTGGCCATGAAAAAAAAAAATGTCTAAAAGGGCTTCTGAGGGAATAACAATTCAAAAAAAAAGGTTGAGAAATGCTGCTCTGAAGGAAACTGAGGTGCTGTTGCCAGAAGAAGGGTGTTGGATACCGAGCAGCCGACAACAGCACTTGTTCACTCTGGGGGAGTCTGGAAACCGGAGTCCCCAGCAGACAGGATAGTCCAGTAGGTGCCGCCTGGTCAGAGGGGCTTGTTGGGGATGGGGTGGGGATCTAGGGCCTGGAAAGCGGAGCCTTATCTTCGGTTACCCTGACCCAGCTGCTCTGTGCCATTTTTGGTGCAGGCGAAGAATGAGGTGGAGAAGCTTCCCCGGCAGCAGCGGAAGGACAGCATGAAGCAGAAGATGGAGGAATACACACAGAAAAAGCAGCTTCTGGTGAGTCTTCAGCCCTCCGTCTGGGAGTGGAGGGGTGGGGGATAGAGTCCCAGGTTTGAGACTCTGAATGGTGACCAGGCCCCCTCTCTGTCTTTGCCCAGGCCCTGCCACTCGAATGTCCATCTCTTGTTGTAAATACTGAATCCAGCCCCATCCTTCACGGCCCCCTGTTATCATCTCCTCCATGCAGCCTTCCATGATTGCCCTCATTCTAGCTGGAAGTGCACTCTCCCATCTCTGGACACCCCAGCCCTGTACATTAAATCCACCCCCTGCCAAAGCCCTTAGCACCTTCTATTTTGTTTTACGCCTATTTGTATGTCACATCTTTTTGACCAGCCCAGTATATCCATCTGCCCACTTGGTGTCTTTTTTTTTGGTGGCTGGCCAGTATGGAGATCCGAACCCTTGACCTTGGTGTTGTAACCCTGTGTTCTAACCAACCGAGCTCGCCAGCCACCCCTTGGCATCTTTTGGAGTCTAAAAGATATCAAACCTTCAGTCTCCTAGACCTGGTTCTACTCTCATGTTCCCAGGGGACACCATCCTTCCTGTTGTCAGGACAGAATGCTTGTCATTCCTGACTCCGCCTTTCCCTCCAATCCTTCCTTCATCACATCCTGAAGCATGGTGTGTGTGTGTGTGTGTGTGTGAGAGAGAGAGAGAGAGAGAGAGATCTCCTGTCTCTAGATCATTAACCTGTCCACATCTCCGTGACCACAGGCACGGCCACTGGAGCCCCCCAGCCAGTCTCCTTCCTTCCTCTGTGGCTTCCCTGCAGTTGCTTCCTTCACACCAGCAGGGTGATCAATATGAATTCCAAATCTGTTCATGACACCCTTCCCCCCACAGCCCTGTGCTTAAAACCCTTCAGTGGCTCCCACTTTGTCCATCAGAGAAGACCCGCCTCCTCACCGTGCTTATGGGGCTCTGCAGTCTGACCCCTGCCAGCTTCTCCCAGCTCCGCTCCCAGCACCCCCAGCCTTCTTTCATCCCTTGCCAAAATGCTCCCATTCTCTCCCACTATGGGGTCTTTGTGCATTCTGCTTCCTCAGACCCAAATGAAGAGAATGTTTGAGTCTGCCTTTGCGGATGCTTTGTATGTTATCTGGGTCAGCATTCACAGCTCGCCGGGGTAGGTGGTGTTACCTTTCCCATTTGCAGAAGAGGAAACTAAGGCTTGGAGAGGTGACTCTGCAGGGTTAATGGGGACGGGCCAAGGCCTCAAACTTGGTCTGACTCCAGACTTTGTGTTCTCTCCAGGACACCCTATAGCCTGTCCCTTGATGCGATGATTAGAAAAAGAACACAGGGCTGGTAAGGGTGGGGGTAGACAGGCCCTCATCTCTGCAGATGGAGAGCAGATTGTGTGGCCCTTTAGGAGGCCAGTCTCACTATTGCATCAAGGTGGTGCTGATAACACAAAGGTCGAGGGTTCAGATCCCCATACTGGCCAGTCAACAACAACAACAAAAAAGACTCAAAGTGGCAGCACCACTCTGTCTCAAAAACGTGCACATTCTTTGGCTTGGGGTTTTTGCTTCTACAAATCCTGAGGAAGTCTAAAAATCCTGACAATGTCATCACAGAGGTTCACAAACATTTAGCTACTAGAATGTGAAGAGCAGCACTATGTAAAATAGAGAAAACCTGGAAACAACCTTTTATTTATTGGGTAAATTAGGGTATATTCATACCATGAGATATTTTTAGCCATTAAAACACATGTGATAGAAGATTACATTATAACATGGAACGGTCTTTTAAATAATTTTTAAAAATTGTGGTAAAATAGACATAACATAAAATTTACCACCTTTGCTATGATTAAGTGTACAGTTCAGTGGCATTAAGTACATTCACACTTTTGTGCCACCATCACCGCCACCCATCTCCAGAGCTCTTTTCATCCTGTGAAACTGAAACTCTGTACCCATTAAACAGCTCCCCATCCCCCCCCACCCACTTGTGGTCTCTATTCTACTTTCTGTCTGTGCAATGTTGATCACTCTAGGTGCCTCATATAAGTGGAAGCATACAGTATTTGTCCTTTAGCATCTAGTGAAATGTCCTTAAGTTTCATCTATGTTGTAGCATGTGTCAGAATTTCCTTCCTTTTTTAGGCTGAGTAATATTTGATTGTAGATATTACCATATTTTGCTATCTGTTCATCTGTCGATGGACACGTGGATCGTTTCCATCCCTACACAGGTGTACAAATATTTCTTTGATTCTTTTTTTTTTTTTTTTTTTTTTTTGGTGACCGACCAGTATGGGGATCCGAACCCTCAACCTTTGTGTTATCAGCACCACACTGTAACCGAGTGAGCTAACCAGCCAGCCCTGGTCCTTTGTAATAATTTTTGTGAAATGACAATTACAATAGGTATAGATACATTAGTATAGATATAATACGAACAGTTTCTTGCCCTGGGTGATAGGACTGCTGGGAGTTTCTAGTTTCTTCTTATGTGGTCCTTAACATTTTTTAATTTTAATTTTACTTTTTCGGGGCTGGTCCGTGCCTTACTTGGGAGTGTGGTGCCGACAACACCGAGTCAAAGGTTAAGATCCCCACTGGTTATCTTATTAAAAAAAAAAATTACTTTTTCACTCTTTCTTATGGAAAATTAAAGACGTAGACAGGAATAGGGACAGTGGTATAATGAACGCCCCCCGCCCATCACCCCTCTCAATACTTACCAACTTGTGCGCACTCACTTACTCCCCACCCCACCATGTTATGTTGTTTGTACTGTCGTTTGTGTTTGTTTTTGGTTTGGGGCAGCTGGCGCGTACAGGGTTCCAAAACGTCCACCTTGGTGTTGTCAGCACCACGCTCTCCCACGTGAGCTGACTGGCCGGCCCATCCACCATTTTATTTTGGATCAAATCCCAGACATCATATGATTTGGCCTGTAAAAATCTCAAACATCACAAAAATAACCACAATACCATAAACACACTTTAAAAATGTACCAGTAATAGCTGAATAATACATTTGCAGTACAGTCAGTATCAGTATTCACATTTCCAATTGTCTCATGAATGTCATCCTTTTTTTTTTTTTAAATGAGTTATTCTTTGGTTCAGGGTCCGAATAAATCCCACATGTCACAATTGGATGATACATCTCTAAGGCTCCCTTCGGTTTGCCCTCCACACATTTCTTTTTCATTTTCTAAATTTTCCTCTCTGACCATGCTGACTTTTCTTCTGTAATAGGAATAAAGGTTGAGATGCCCAGGCCAGCTCTGGATAAAGGCCTGTCCTCCTTCCTCCCCACAGGACAGGGACTTTGTAGCCAAGCAGAAGGAGGACCTGGAGCTGGCCATGAAGAGGCTCACCACCGACAACAGGCGGGAGATCTGCGACAAGGAGCGCGAGTGCCTCCGTAGGAAGCAGGAGCTCCTTCGAGGTGGGGTCCGAGAGTGGGCGGCGCTGTCTTGGCCCAGAATTCTCCATGAATGGACATCCCAGCCCTAGGAAGAGGGGTGGGCAAGAAAAACTACTAGGCCTCCATCCTAAAAATTAAACATCATCCTTCATGATGAAACCTGAGAAAAACCTCCGCTGAAGGCAGGGATGAGGCAGGGATACCAGTTATCACCAACACTATTTGACATTACTGCAGAAGTCAAGGGCAAACAAGAAAGGCAGAGATGTAGAGTGGGTAGAAACCGTTACTAAGTAAGCGGCTGACGCGTGGTGGAGGCGGTGTCATGACACGAGACAGCCTCACAGCTGTCAGGGACCGAGTGACTGCTCCAGCAGACCCCGTGCCACTCAGTTTGCATACCTTAGTCTCACTGAATCCTCATCTTAACCCTATGAGGCAGTTGCTGCTATTATCCCAATTTATAGGTGAGGAAACTGAGGCTTGGAGAGTTACTGTTCTTTGGCCAGGTGTCTTCGTTTGGGCTGCTATAACAAAATATCATGGAATGGCTGGCTTATAAACATCAGAAATTTATTTCTGACAGTTCTGGAAGCTGGGAAGTTCAAGAACAAGGCACCAGCAGATTTGGTGTCGGGTGAGGGCCCGCTCTCTGCTTCTAGCTGTGTCCTCATATGAAATAGGGGCAAACGAGCTCCCTTGGGCCTACCTTGTAAAGGAACTAACTAATCCCATTCATGAGGGCTTCACCCTCATGACCTAATCACCTCCTGAAAGGCTTCACCTCCCAATACCACCACCTTGGGGGTTAGGATTTCAACATACAAATTTTGGGGAGACACATTCAGACCATAGCACAGAGGTTTCACAGTTACTGAGTGATAGAGCTGGGCCTTGAACACAGATATCACCAAGACGCTCTTAACTACCCTGGTGCTGTCAGGAGTTGGAGGGATTTCAGGGCCAATCAGGGAAAAAGATGTGACCATAAGGTGGCAGTAGTGCACAACAGGCTTTGTTTGGGTGGCATTTTGACAGGTTTGCTTGCTCCCTCAGAGCATGAGACCTTCATCCAGAAGGGGAACAGGGCAAGGGAACTCTTGGGGAAGAAGGGGATCTGAGAGGGCGGATTACATATCTAGATGATGTCGCTCAGCACAGGGAACTCAGATGGGGAGTCTCTGGGTCTGAGAACTCCAAAGGGCAGCAGTGGTTTGGGGTTTTCACATAGCCCCAGAGTTTACCTTATCTGTGGCTAGCAGGTATTGGGTGCAGTTTCATGGGGTATGCAAAGTAGGCAGACTCCAAATGGCTAAGTATCTGCTCATTTGAGCTTTTCTGTATAAAAAAAAATATATATATATATATTTTTTGTCCTTTTTGAGACCGGCCGCACCACGCTCACTGCTGAGCTCTGTGAGCGCACCGGTCATCCCTATATAGGATCCGAACCCGCGGCGGGAGTGCTGCTGCGCTCCCAGCGCCGCACTCTCCCGGATGCGCCACGGGCTCAGCCCTAAAAATATATATTTTATGTTTTAAATGTAATAGTTGGATGGGTAAAAATTTGAGTTTGGTGTCTCCGGGCTTATGAGCTAACAGTCCAGGCCTGCTGTGAAGAAGTGAACAACAGAGGACCAATATAGAAGGGCCATCTTTGCTTCATCTATATAACAGGTGCCCCATCCGGGGCTTTGGTGGCCAGTGCAGTTAAGCAACATAAACCGCTCAGGTGTGGACTAGCAAATGAGGTCCTTGATGTTTTGATATTCTGAATAGAGTACAGTTGTTTCAGAAAATCCCTCATTTTCTTTTCTGTCCCATCATGTTTATAAGAACCACCCTATTTGTGGGACTGTGGATCTGATTTTTGTTTGGATGCCAAAATCACTGTTATGATGTACCATATGTAGATGCTGTTTTTCACACAGCAGGAATGCAGCGAAATAAACTGAACATTCAGTGGGCAAGCCCAAGCTTCTGTGTGTCTCCAAGAACATGAGATTCTCCATCTGACACCCGCTCCCCTGCCCTGTTGCTGTGTACAAGGGTTGATGAATAGACCTCCAGTGATGAAGTGCCAGATACCACTGTCTCAATGCTGCATGCATGGGAGATGCAGGGGATGAGGAGGGTCTCACCTATTTTTTCAAAGGAGGAAATAGTGACAAGAGGTGTCCTGTCTTCTTCATGGGAGTCTCCATCTGAGCCCTTTCCATCTGCCCATCAGAAAAGCAGAGGTGCGGTGTAGATTGCACTTAAAAATGTCTCCCAAGGATGTTTCCTCTGTGCGTGGTATAGTTGTCCCCATTTAGTGGAGGTGGAGGCTGAGGCCTGGAGAGGTTTTTTATCCATCCTAAATCCCAATGATGGACCTGGGCTCCACCCTACATCTCTGGTTTCTCTGGCTCCTGACAGAACACTTCCTGATATACCACTCTGCTGAGAGCTATCGTCCCATAGGCTTTAAGGAAGTTTCTAGGACTTGGGTCAAGTCAGCCAACATGGCTAATGAGGTAGCACGTGGTGATTGCTCTGCACTCAGCAGGTTGGCTATCAGCTACAGCGTGAGGAGGCCTGGCAGAGGGGACAACTGGGGAGGGCCCGTCGGGTCTCACTGTCAGCGCCTCAGTGGGTGGGTGGCATGTCCTCCGCAGACCGGGAGGCGGCGCTGTGGGAGATGGAGGAGCAGCAGCTGCAGGAGAGGCACCAGCTGGTGAAGCAGCAGCTCAAAGACCAGTACTTCCTGCAGCGGCATGAACTGCTGCGCAAGCACGAGAAGGTGAGGCTCCTGGTGCGCGGGGTTTGGGGTCTGCTGCCCAGAAGAACTGGGAGGCTGCACCGTGATGCCTCTTGGGTGGGGTGTGGCCACAGAGGCCCCAGGGGCTTCTCCTAGGACTTCGTGTTTTGGCTCAGGGGACCAGGAATGGGGGAACGCGTGCAGGGAAGGAGATGGCCCAAGCAGCTCCCTCACTGACTCTGACACCTGTGGTGTGTGTGTCTCTTTCATTCCTTTTTCTCTTTTCTCTTTTTGTCCTCCTTTTCTTTCCATTTCTCTTTATTTCTCTCTTTCCTGTGCATTCCCTCAGAATGCTTTTAGGTTTCCACTTAAACACCATCTCTGTCAGGAAACCTTCCCTAAACTCCCCAGACCTGAGGACCCCTGCTCTGTGTGGCCAGAGCACTGTCTGCTTCTGTGGTCATTGTCTGTCTCAGTTCAGACCCCATGGCAGGGACAGCGACAGATAAACCTGTGCTGTGTGGATGTACAGCAGCTGTGGGGTAATTCCAATTCCTTCTCCTAATGCAATGATGGAAGTCACCATAGGGTGTGGAGCTCAGAATAAGGGTGCTTAACCTGGCTAGGAAGTCTGGGGAAGCTTCCTGGAGGAGGTGACGGCCATGCTGAATTTTGGAATACAAATAGGTAGGCTTGCTGGTTAGCTCAGTTGTTTAAATACAAAAAGATGGGCCGAGCCCGTGGCACACTCGGGAGAGTGCGGTGCTGGGAGCGCAGCAGCGCTCCCGCCGCGGGTTCAGATCCTATATAGGAATGGCCGGTGAGCTCACGGCACTCACTGGCTGAGCGCGGTGTGGCCAGTCTGAAAGAGGACAAAAATAAATAAATAAATAAATACAAAAAGATGTTATGAGAAGGAAGAAATTTTAAATTTAAAAAGATTTTTTAAAATATGAATTTACATTTGCCATATCCCCTTTAGCGTACATCTTGCTTTGAGATGTTAGCTGGTGATGGTATGCCATTGTGGATTAGATGAGAAGGCATTTCGAAGGGAAGAATCCAAAATGTTCTTAATAATTTAAAAAGTGAGAATAGTGTGAAAAAAAGTGTAAATTTTTAACAGCAGAAGTAAAATAACATAAGCCTTGCTCCACTGAGCATTCTGGGCCACACAGGTCCAGGGCGCTGGAGTTGCGGGTGGCGGCCTCTGGCCTGTGACCACACCCGGTGCCCAGAGTGCCGCTGACCTCAGCCTGGGTGGGGCTCCCTCCTCAGGAGCGGGAGCAGATGCAGCGCTACAACCAGCGCATGGTGGAGCAGCTGAAGGTGCGGCAGCAGCAGGAGAAGGCGCGGCTGCCCAAGATCCAGAGGAGCGAGGGCAAGACACGCATGGCCATGTACAAGAAGAGCCTGCACATCAACGGTGGGGGCAGCGCCTCTGAGCAGCGTGAGAAGATCAAGCAGGTGGGGGCCAGGCCTGACGGGTCTGTGGCTGCACCAGTGCCAGAGTGGGGCCAGGGCCAGGTTTGGCAGGGCCCAACCTCATATGATTGGGAGAATATAAAATAGAAGATGCAGCACAGGGTCTTGGAAGGAGTGTGCAGGTGACAGGTCGTGGCATGGAAGCATCATTACATTAGCCTCGCAGTGAATGTGGACAGAGGAGGGAGTGTGGCATTGTGCTGTGGACTTTCTCATTGTCCATTCCCATGCTTTCATCTGTGCAGCTTCCTCTGCTGGTAAACTCCTCATCCACCAAGACTCCATTGACATGTCACCCATGTAGCTCAGGCACATGGAGTCAGTGACCCTGGGCTCCTGTGATTCTTGTGTGGTACACATGCTGTCCTAGCACATGTCCTGTCCCCACCAGCTGGGGGTGCTCCTTGAGGGCAGGAGCTGGGTCTCAGCTCAGGGTGAGGACTTAGAACAGGGGGCACAGCCTGCAGTGGTGCCAGGCACTCGGACTCTGCCAAAACCAGGCCCTCACTGCAGCAGGGCTGGCCTCTGAAGCACCCACCTTTCTCTGGTGTAGTTCTCCCAGCAGGAGGAGAAGCGGCAGAAGTCAGAGCGGCTGCAGCAGCAGCAAAAACATGAGAACCAGATGCGGGACATGATGGCGCAGTGTGAAAGCAACATGAGTGAGCTGCAGCAACTGCAGGTACCACCCTCGCCGCTCCCCTCTCTCAGTTTACCCAAGGCAGTCAGTCATCTTGGGGCCAAAGATGCCACAAGCAGGGAAGGATCCTTGTCAGTCAAGCCCAGGGCAGACTGGTTCCAATTCTGCCTTGCTGCTCTCGGGCTGTGTGACGTTGGGCAAATCACGTCACCCTCCCAAGCTGGAGTTCTCAAATCCCTAACATGGGCATGGGGTCGGGGTGATAATTCCTATTTTGCAGGATTGGGATGAGGATTTGTGAATGAGATGACAAAGCTGAAAGGGCCTTGCCCAGGGTCTGCCAATGGGCATGCTGCTGGGTTTCTCAGTCATCATGTGTCTTGGGAAAAGGTGTCCCTTGTGACCACTTTTCCTGTGGAAATCCCTGACCTTTCAAGTTTCCTGGCTCCTGAGTTTGCCCCATTCCTGAGGGTCCTGGCCCCAGGAGCTGGTATTTGGAGCCCCCTTGTGGTGGATCAAGGAATTGTCCTTACTCAGGGATGAGGCCGACCTCTGTGGACCTCAGGAAACTGCTCAGGGTATTGGACCCATCTGGCAATTTCTAGAGAGGCAGGGAGGCATGGAGAAAACATTATGAGTGTTGAAGCCCACCAGGTGGGGACTCTGCTCTCTGCCACTGTGTGAATTTTTGCCAGTCTGTTCACCTTCTGCATCCATTTTCCTTTCCCATCTGTTTTCCTCATGGGGCCACTGTGAGAATTAACTGAGAGAACCCATATAAAGTGCCAAGCACAGCTCCTGCAGGTCATCGGTACTCAGTCCTGCTGTGAGTAACTAAACCAATGTCTAAACTCCCGGAAGTCTTGAGCTTGAAACCCAAAATGAAAATCCCCCAAGGGGTTCTACTTTTCCAACCCAATAAGGTTGTGGTATCTGGAGAAAGCCAGTTTCCACCTTCTTTATACGCTCTTTGTAACAAGATTGATTCTCTGCGAGGACTCAACAGGGCCTTGTCACTTCTGCTTATGAGAGAGATTCCAGGTAGATCTTGTAAAGCAGGTAACCTACTTCAGAGAGAACAGTGAGGTTGGGAGAGCCTCAACCATGTCTGTGGCCCTCATCCCTGACCATACATCTCTCCTGAGGAAATTATATGTGATGCAGGAAGTAATATAATATATATGTAAGTTATACATATATAATTTATATAAATAAATATTTATACACACAGATTATCTTAGTCTGCTTGGACTGCCATAACAAAATACCATTGCGCCTTAAACAATAGAAATTTATTTACTAACAGTCCTGAAGGCTGGGAGTCCGAGATCAGGGTGCCAGCCTGGTCGAGTTCTGCTGAGGGCCAGCCCCCTTCCTGGCTTGCAGGTGACCATCTTCTCACTGTGTCCTCACGTATGAGAGAGAGAGAAAGCACTCATGCTAGCAAGCTCTCTGGTGTCTCTTCTTATTTATTTATTTAAATTTTAAAAAAATATATTTATTTTAACTTTTTACTATGAAAAATTTAATACATATACAATAAATCCAGCTACAGCAGTCAACAGCTCATAGCCAGTCTTCTGGTGTCTCTTCTTAAAAGGACACTAATCTCTTCATGAAGGCCCCACCTTTATGACCTCATCTAAACCTAAGTATCTTCCAGAGGGGGCCCCCCCCCCCATCCAAATAACCATCACATTGGGGATTAGGGCTTCACCATGAATTTGGGAGTGGGGAGGACACGATTGAGTCTGTAGCACAGGTGTTTAACACTGTGTTATTTATAATAGTGAAAATAAGAAGCAACCTAAGTGTCTGCAAATAGAATGTTTAAACAAATTTGATAAATATATACTGTGGGATATTCCATGGGCATTAAAAATGATGATTATGAAAAACATGAATTCTTTGTAGAAATGTTTACATTATAGTGTTAAGTGTGTGTGTGTGGGGGGGGGTAGGTTTCAGAATTGCCTATACATGGTGAGCTAAACAACACTAAGGACAGAGCCAGACAGGAAATACATCTAAATGTTTGCAGTAGTTGTTTCTGTGTGGTGGGATTAGGGCACGTACTGTATTTATTTATTATTAATAGTTTTACTGTTTGGCTGAAATGATATATGTTCATTTTCAAAAATTCAAACAATGCAAAAAAGCACAAAGAAGAGAGTTGCAAAATTACTGCAAATCCCAACAAAGAGATAATAAGAATTATTAACGTTAATATTCTGGAATATTCTTCGAGGCACCACTTGGTGCATGTGTATTTACATAGAGAGTTTTGTATAAAGAGGGTTTATAATCAAAGAGAAGAAGTAATAAATGAGCAATGCTGGTCTCTCGTGGCTGTAGCATGAGGCGTGTGTTTCAGCCCTCAGTGCCTCTACCCACTGATTTTCTCACCTGTTGTACCTGAAATTTGTTCCAGAATGAAAAGTGTCACCTCTTGGTAGAGCACGAAACCCAGAAGCTGAAGGCCCTGGATGAGAGCCATAACCAGACCCTGAAGGAATGGCGGGACAAGCTTCGGCCACGCAAAAAGGTAACCATGTCTGGGCTGGGGGCTCAGTGGTGGGCACTGCTGCATGCCAGGCCACAGGTGTCTGCCTGGGATATCTTAGGTCTTATTTTGGTGGACTCTTGCTTGGTGGCATCCATAAAATGGATCTCCAGCCTGAGGGGAGAGGAGCTTCCTAACACTTTGTGGCTGAATGTCATGTAGCTTCTACCCTCTGGAATGGCAGCCTCCTTGCTGCACTGGTCCAGAGGCCTTGTTTAAGTCCCTCTCACAGACTGAAGGATTCCTGCCATGTGGTGTCCATAGAAGACAATGCAGTGAGTAGGAGTTAGCTGGGCTGCCAGGCCAGAAACCCAGCCTGTGGGGATTTTCTCTTAGAGGAAGTTATTCTGAAAAGTCAGAATCCATCACCAGATAGGTTACTTTCTGAATTTGTTCTCTGTTGTTGCATAACAAATTGCCACACACTTAGAAGCTTAAACCAACACCCATTTGCTCTCTCATAGTTCTATAGGTCAGGAATCTGGGTGGGATTGATGGGGTTCTCACAATGCTACAATCAAGGTGTCAGCTGGGCTGGGCTCTTATCTGGGGGCTCTGGGGAAGAATTACTTTCAAGCTCATTCAGGTTTTGACAGAATCCAGTTCCTTGGATTGAGGTCTGAGGTCCCTGTTTCCTTGCTGGCTGTCAGTAAGAGGCTACTCTCTGCTCTAGAAGCCACCCACATTCCTTGGCCTGTGGCCCCCTCCATCTTCAAATAACAAGCGTGCATTGAGACCTTCTCACTCTGTGAATCTCTGTTGTCCCTTCTGCTACCAGCTGGAGAAAACTCTTAAAAGACTTGTGTGATTAGGTTTGGCTCATGTGATAGTCTCCCCCTTGCAGGGAGTAATATCATATTCATAGGTTCCCCACACTCAAATGCCAGGGGGTGGAGAATTGTACAAGACTGAGTCATGATGGGTCATTCTTAGAATTCTGTCTACCATAGTTTTACTTTCAAAAACATGCCCTCCTTCAGTCCTGCATCATTCTTTACTGCCCCCTCCCTGTCCTCCTTCTGTGCCAAGCATCTTCAGTGACCCATACTCCTTGTCTCAGTTTCTTCACTTCATATTTATTTCTTGGCCCAGTGTGGCTGCTCCTGACGAGGTCAATACCAGCATCCTAATGGCTAAATCCCATGGATACAACTTATTTGTCTTGACCTCCAAGGGGCAGCCAACACTATTGATTACTCCCTCTCTCTCCTGTCTTGTCCTCCTGGGCCCTCTCTCCGCAGGGTTTCTTCTCTGTGACTGGCCCCTCTGCACTTTCCTTCCTGGCCCATCTGTTGACTTCTGACCCCAGATCTAAGTTCTCAACCCTCTGTTCTGAAGCCTCTCCCTACCTGAGTTCACTCACTCCCACAGCTCTATCCACAACCTCCAAGCCGTGCCCCATGAATCTCAACCTCCCACCCAGACCGCCCTTCTGTCCAGCACATTCAAATTATTTCCTAGATTCCTCCACCCAAAGGCCCCACCAGCCCCACAATGTCATGTCCTAACACAACTCATCATCTTCCCCCACAAACCCATTCTCTTCCCGTCTTCTGTGCCTTGGTGAATGGCACCTCCATTTTCTTGGATGCCCAAGAAACCAACCTGAGTGACATCCTGTCCTATCCTTCCCCACCCTCTCGCCATCTCACATCAGTCACTTAGCTCTGTCCGTTTGCCCTCCTCAATGCAAATTCGCCCGATTAGGCCTCATGGCTTCCCACCTGGTTTATCCAAACTGCCTTTTTTTTTTTTTTTTTTTTGGCAGCTGGCCAGTATGGAAATCTGAACCCTTGACCTTGGTGTTATAAGGCTGGGGTCTAACCAACTGAGCTAACTGGCCAGCTCCAAACTCCCTTCTAACTGGGCTCGTTGCACCTGCTCCTGCTGCCCCCCACCCATCCCATCCACCTGGTCCCCATGGCCCTGTGGCACCTACCTGGCTAACTCTCCAGCCCAGTGGTTCTCAAGCTTTTTGGTTTCAAGACCTATTGATACTTTAGAAATTATTACGAACCCTAAAGAGCTTTTGTTTATGTAGGTTATATTTACGGAGAGTTACCATTTTAGAAATTTTAACTGAGAATTTAGAAAATATTAATCACTTACAAATAAGAATAAAATACGTTACATGTTTACATAAATGACACATTTTGATGAAAAATGGCTACATTTTCCAAACTAAATTAGTGAGAAGATTAGTATTGTTTTACATTTGTCAAATCTATTTAAAATCTGGTTAAAAGAAGACCACTGGAAGGTCTGGACAGTTAGCTAACTTGGGAGAGCATGGTACTGGTAACACCAAGGTCAAGGGTTTGGATCCCCATACTGGCCAGCCACCAAAAAAAAAAAATGCTCCTGGGTTCTCATATCATTTTTATTATTCAGTCAGTTGCGTTATGTTGTTCTGGTTGACGTTTATGAAGAAAATCTGGCTTTACACAGATATATGTATTTGGAAAAGGGAGGAGTATTTTAATAGCCTTTCCAGATAATTATGGATATTCTTTTTTGATAATACACCAAAACTCAAGAAGTGGCATTTTCTTAAAGGCTAGTTGCAGTGTGGAACCGGCACCTGTATCAGTAAACTGTTTGTCCTGTTATGTTAAAAATCCCCTGATCCATCTTACACTTTTTTTTTTTTTTTTAAAGATGACCGGTAAGGGGATCTTAACCCTTGACTTGGTGTTGTCAGCACCATGCTCAGCCAGTGAGCGAACCGGCCATCCCTATATGGGATCCGAACCCGGGGCCTTGGTGTTATCAGCACCACACTCTCCCGAGTGAGCCACGGGCCGGCCCGTCCATCTCACACTTTGAATGGAACTTTTCGTCGGCCATGATCCTGTAACATCACACACTGGTCACTTAGAAAATATTGGTTCACTAACTTATGCAGATCTTCCAAATATTGACATATTTCTTTATATAAAGTATAAAAATCATACCCATTAATATCACCACTGAGTGCATCAGAAAAGTCTTTAAATATGAAGAAGCAGGATAGTGGACACTGGTTTTCCAAAATTCTGATTTTTGCTTGAACACTCAAATTTTGTCATTGGCAATAAATATCATTAGTTGTTTTCCTTGAAGAGGTTGCTCCCTGTGCTCATTTTCAAGAAAATGTTTACTAATTACCCATAGTTTATCAGTCATTTTAAAAATAAAAATAGTGTTCCATGAAAAAAAAACGGTAGTTCAGCTCATAGCTCAGACAGTGGCCCTGGAACGTCCCCTTCAGACGGCCACCAGCCCCGCTGTGTGCGCAAGTGCATGTAGCACGTATTTCCCATTTCCTCACATGCAGTATTGAAGAGCCATGTCCTTGAAGGTCAAGATTTAACAAATGAATCCTTCGTGTTGCTTCATCAAGGTAATCTTGAGTGAAATTGGCTTTTTTCATTGAAAAACTTTTTTTTTTACTATGAGTGCACAGCAATGAAGAATATTCATCCAGCCTGGCCGGTTAGCTCCCTTGGGAGAGCGTGGTGCTGGTAATACCAAGTTCAGGGGTTCAGATCCCCGTACCAACCCCCCGCCAAAAAATATTCATCCAGTTTGATGCCATTGTTTTAATTCCTTCTCAGCCTCCAGTTTTGCTCACCATAGCTTTCGTACCATTAGTGCAAATATTGAAACAGTGGAAAAGGCAAATTACGCTTAGTAGTAGGAAAGTAGTTCTGACCTTGCTGACCTCTCACTCTACAAAGGGTTTGGGGCCCCTTAGGGGTCCACAGACCACACTTTAAGAACAACTGCTCTTGCCTCGTCTCCTGTGAGTCTCACCCCCTACTTGTGCTCTGAACAGATTTCAGTGCCCAGATAGATCTCCATATCATACATGCTTCCTCGTTCCCTGCTGGGCCTTTGCCCAGGCTGTTCCCTCTGCCAGGAGTTCTTACCTCCAACTCTGGCTTGTTCAACTGCTGTTTGTCTTCAGCATTCAGACTTCCACACCTTAGGCAGTGTGGGTGCCTCTTCCGGGCTCCAACAGCTCCCCATCCCTGTCCCTGTCCCTGTCATGATACCTGTCACATGGTATTACCATTGTCTGCCATCATTAGCTTGATCATTCCTTCATTTGTTCATGCACTTGTGTGTTCATGGGACAAATATTTCTTCAGCACATGCTCACTGCCCCACCCTGTTTTAGGCACTGGAGCTACCAGAACAAAACATACAAAGTCCTGCCCTCAGGGAGATGACCTTCTAGTGAAGGGCAAAGAAGCAGGGAAGGGAAACAGCATGGGGTGCCCTGGGGGCTGCGTCAGACAGGAAGGCCTCATGGAGAGGGTGATGACAGCCAAACAGAGATCTGAAGGACATGAGGGAGGAGCCACTGCCGAGGTCCTAAGGCGAGGGCATATCTGCCATGTTTGAGGAGCAATGGGAGGCCAGTGTGGACGGGGCAGTTTGGTGGTGATGGTGGGAGATGACAGGAGGTGAAGTCAGAGGGGGAGCAGGGGCCTGTGTAAAGTCTGTGTGAGGTGGGAGCCACCGGGGGGTTCTGAGCAGAGGATAATATGGTCTGACTCATGTTTTGAAAGGATTCCTTTGGGCTGGCCCATGGTTCACTTGGGAGAGCGTGGTGCTGACAACACCAAGGCCACAGGTTCAGATCCCTGTGTAGGGATGGCCGGTCGCTCACTTGGGAGAGCGTGGTGCTGACAACACCAAGTCAAGGGTTAAGATCCCCTTACTAGGGATGGCCGGTCGCTCACTTGGGAGAGCGTGGTGCTGACAACACCAAGGCCACAGGTTCAGATCCCTGTGTAGGGATGGCCGGTCGCTCACTTGGGAGAGCGTGGTGCTGACAACACCAAGGCCACAGGTTCAGATCCCTGTGTAGGGATGGCCGGTCGCTCACTTGGGAGAGCGTGGTGCTGACAACACCAAGGCCACAGGTTCAGATCCCTGTGTAGGGATGGCCGGTCGCTCACTTGGGAGAGCGTGGTGCTGACAACACCAAGTCA